CACCACGACAGGATGCAGTGGGCATTAGTTCTTGTGCGTATGGATTCGTCTGTTACCCTCCCCTGCAAAGTGCTTTCGATCTATCGACCCCAGAACCGTTCAGCTGCCAAAGTGCAGCAGCTGTGCGAGAGCCTTCCCGGGTACACGAGGACGCTGCTGCTTGGGGCGCTGCAGCACAGTTTGTTCTGGAGCCGCGAGCCCATGGGAGCTCTGGTGTTTGTGCAAAGGAGCTTGGCAAGTAAATGCCCAAGTAAACGCCCTTGATAGACTTGCGTGAGCAAGATCTCATTTGAAAGCCTTGCTGCTGCCCTCCCTGTGCCGCGAAGGCTGATGTGAGCTCAGCTCTAAGAGCAGCACTGATCTCAGAGGGAAGCACTGGCTACTGCCCAGCATTTCCACTCTGCCGGGAATCGTGTTTGTTTTGCTTCTTTCAATTTGGTTTCAATCCAAATTGGATCCAACGGAGTTTTTGAAAACATCCAGCAAACTGGAAACTGCTGGGTCCCACAGCTGCCCAGTGAGACCAGGACCCCTCACCGCACTGCTCCGAGAGGCACAAAGTCCCTCGAGAGCCACAGCCCCCAGGGTCCCTGTCCTCACAGACCACAGTTCCCGAGGAGCTGCCAGACTGAAGGTGCTCAGGCACAGGGCAGAGCCTCCAGGATCCTGCTCCTGAGCCCCACGCTGGATCCAGTGAATGCTCCTTTCCCCCAAGAACAAAACCTTTTGGAGCACGGCACTTCCCAAGAGGAAGCGCTGGGAGAAGTGAAAGCCTCCCACGAGACCACACGACCCCACTTGCGCTGACTCACTTTGAAAAAGTCCGCGAGACCTTCTCGGAGTGACAGTAGACAGTGTGGAAAAGCCAGGAGAAGCTGAGGCACAGCACCGCACCAAGGAAGAACATCCCAAACACCACCTTCTCCTGGAGAGGAGCCATGAAATACATGTTGGGCCGCAGCATGGTCAGGATCCCCAGGCAGAGGAACAACACAAAACCTGCAGGAAACACACCGAATGTCAGGCAGGAGCAGGGTGATCCAGAACACCCCACACAGGGTCCCCACAAGGGACACGGGGCAGGACAAGTTCCCTTCCCACACTCAGTCGGTTCCGGGGGTTCCTCCCTTACAGACCCTGCGCCCTGTTCGTCCGGGGCAGTCTCTGGCCTGGCTGCGCTCTGCAAGGCAGAACCTGGACATGTCCTGGGTTCCCAGGGAAAGGTTTTGGGGACATTGTTTTGCCCAGGACATGTTTCTCCATCCCAGGAGCAGAACAGCTCGCTTGCAGAGCTCAGGCAGAGCCACCACGCAGCAGCAGCAACCCAGACACAACCTGAAGGCCTCAGAGCGCCCTGTGCAGGCCAGGACCCTCCGCAGAGCACCTGGCCAAGCCCCTCCCACAGCCTGAGGCCACCCGATGCAGTTGTCAGCCCCTAACGAGCATGGACAAAGCCACCAAGCTCAGGCCGTGGCCTCGATGAAAGGAAGTGCCCTGTGCTCCCTTCACCCTGAGCTCCAGGAAACCTCACAGCGTGTGTGTGCCAGGACCAGCAGGGGTACGTGAGCCGAAACCAGAGATTTCTGGCACAGAGAGAACACGGAGCAAGTCCCAAGGCTTGATGTGGCTGGCCTGCACGCCAACCTGCCCCCCAAAGGCCACCCCAAACGGCTCCAGCCCCGTGGAAGCACCACGCAGCCCCAGAGCTGCCGCAGTCACCCAGGAGGTGCGTCCAGATGTTGCCCGTCTCGGTGTGTATCCGGAAGATGCTCTTGAAGCAGGCTCGGAAGGACGGCATCGGGGGCCGGTGCCCGTGCAGGAGGTAATCGTTGTCCTTCAGCCAGTCGGGCAGCACGTCATAGGGGATCACGCGCCAGCGCCCTTCCCACACCTGCAACACAGTGACCTGCGCTGGTACCACCACAGCCAACGGGTCACCTTTGCTGCCTTTACTCAGCCCGGGAGCTCGGGTCGCATGCGGAACAAACCAGCGAGCCTTCCCTGCAGCCAGGGCCGTGAAGGCCCCGTAACTCTCCCCCGGGAGGGGAAGTTGGGTCTTTGCAACACCCAGCACCCTGTGGGATCCCTTCCCTTCCGCCACCCACATCCTGCAGAGCGCTCCCCACATCCCCGGGGAGCTGGAGACAGTTCCTACCCCTGCCTTTAACCCTTCGGTCCCCTGAGGCAGGAGCTGTTCTCTGTGGCAGAAATTCCCTTCCGTTCTGGTCAGGGAAAAGGAAGCCTGGCTGGCACAGAACCGTGCCGAGTCTCAGCCATTTGCCACTGCTCACCGAAACGCGGTGACCACGAGCACAGGCACTGCTCTGCCCAGGGCTGAGTGGAGGCATCCGGCAAAGCCAGCGACAGAATTTGTGATCCCAGTCCCAGCTGGAGACACTGGGGATGCTCCTGAAGTCGCTGCCAGTCCAACAGGGCTGGGGGCAGCCCCAGCTGCCCACCAGGGTCCCCAGCAGCTCTCGTACCTTATACACAAACTCTTCCATCTTCTCCATGGCGTGGTGAGCCTGCAGGGGCAGAGTCAGCACACGAACCACCTCCTCCTCTTCCTCACGGGCTGCTGGGCACGGCGGGTCCTCAGCCTAGGAGGAGAAACGCCGGGAGGGAACCATTCCTGCCACGGGAGGCACGCAGGCACAAGGAGAGCAGCGAGTCCCTTCTCCTTTTGCACGCACCTGGGGCTTCGTCCCCTGCCGAGGGGACGGGCAGGACCCACCGGTCACCGCTGCTTACGCAACACCCCCCTGCCTTAACCGTCTCAGGCAGACTAATCCCCGCTTTATCCTTGTTTAAAGGCGGGATTACCAGGGGGGATTTTCATCCTTACAACCAAGAGCCCCTGGGTCCAGCCGGGTCGCCGAGCCCTGGAGCTGGGCGCCCACCCCAGCTGGGACAGGCTGCCGGGACGCACTGCCCGTCCTGTCCCGGTCCCGGTCCCTTCCCTCCTCCTCCCCCTTCGCATTTTGGGGCTGCGATTCCCGGCCCAAAGCGCCACCAAACCAAAGGGCGAGGGCAGCTCCTGGGCACACCGGGGCACAGCCCGGGCACCCTCCAGGTGACGAAGCGCCCCGCGGCTCCCCGCGCCCTCCGAGCTGCTCACGGGACGAGGCCCAAACCCCCCGGAGGGCCCCGGGGCTGCCTCCGGTGAGCGCCCATCGCGGCCAGGCGGGGACGGGCAGCTTACGCTGGGCGGGCCGGCGGCGCCCTGCTCCCCCTTCTCCTCCAGCAGCGGCCCCAGCTCGGCCAGCTCCAGGTGCGCTCTCTCCCGGTTGGCGGCGGCGGCCAGCCCCGTGCCCGGCCCGGTGGCGGCGGCTTTGCGGGACGCCATGGCGGTGGTGGTGGCGGCGGCGGCGGCGAAGCTCCTGGGGGCCGGTGCGGGTCCCTCGGCGTCCTCGTGCCGCCGCGCTGCGGAGGGAACGGAGCGGAGTCAACGGCACCGCGCCGGGGCTGAGACCGGCGGCACCGGGGGGGGACCGGGGGGAACCGGGGGGGGACTGGGGGAGGCCGGGGAGGCACCGGGGGCACCGGGCCGGGCTCAGGGCCCGGACACCGCCGGCCCCGCGGCGCCGCCCCCCGCCCGCACTCACCGGCCGCGACAGCCCGCGCAGGGCGGCGGCGGCGGCGGCACCGGAAGCGACGCTGAGAGACCGGGCCGCTTCCGGCAGCGTCGCCCCGCCCCGCCGGGAGCCGCGCTGTTCCCGCTCTGTGATTGGCTGTCGCGGCTGTCCGTCTGCATCCCGCCCGGCCCCGCCGGCTGCTGTGATTGGGCGAGGCGCCCAGCCGGGAGGGGGGCGCTCTAGGCTGGCGGCGCGTCTCGACTGCCCCCTGCGGGAGGGGCGGGGGCGGTGCCAGCCCCGGGAGGCCTCGGCGGGGGGGGGGGGAGGTAATGTCCCCCTCAGGGCCCGTGGGGTCAGGGAGGGGCTGGGGCTGGAGGGGGCTGCACCCCACCCCCCACTGTCCCCACCGAGCCGTGTCCCCAAGCACCAGCCCCAACCTCTCCTGGAGCCCCCCCAGGGACGGGGACTCCCCCACCTCCCTGGGCAACCCGTCCCAACGCCTGCCCGCTCTGTCTGAGCAGAAATGGCTCCTCCTTCAGGCAATGCCCCCTACCCGGTGTCACCAACAAGGCGACGTCCTCCACACCCCTCCCCAAGCCCTCTCAGGCCTCATGGGGCTGCAAGGAATTCACAACAAAGCTCACAGCATCATACATTCAGGCATTCTCTATTTTCACCCCCCACACCTTTCCATATGTTCCATCGTTCCACAAGCTCTGCCCCGTTACCACACGATGCAGCCCTGAGGGGTGCCCAGGCACGGGGACAGGCCCCGTCCGTGCTCCCACCCTCGCTGTCCCTCTGTCCCCAAGCACCAAAAGGCGTCAAGGGCTCACGGCCCCAGCACTAATTGACGCCGAGGTCGTCCCCTGCCTGTCGCGGCCGGCTCGTCTTTCCCTGCCGGCCAGGGCTAGGTTTAATTACCCCCGCTAATGGCAGCCCGGGACCGGAGACTCCCCTCGGCCCGCCGCCACACCAGCGGCTCCTGTTCCCCATCAATTATTCACGGCTCCGCTCTGGGAAGGGGTTTCTCAGGGCTGCTCGGGGGGGATTTTCCAACTTTTCCGGCATTAAGCAGCTGCTGCTGGTCCTGGAGCTGGTTGGAGGTGCTGGGGCCACTGCTGTCCCTGTGGGGTGAGTGGTGCTGGGTTTGGAGGGGACACGGGGCACAAACATTTTGGGGGAGCACGGGGCAGCCCGAGGGAGCCTGCTGGGGGCTGTGGGGTGGGGGTTTTGGGCTCCAGACCTCATCCACTGCAGCCCCACAGGGGCTCAAGGGCCCTCAGGCTCCCGGCACCAGCTGGGGAAGGGCGAACCCTCTCCACGTGTAGGGCTGTTGCTGTCCCAGCTCCTTGTGGCACTTGGCTGCTGCTGCCCCATGGGCAGAGCAATCCCTGACCTGAGCTGGAGGGCATGGGGGAAACCTGCCAGGAACTGGTTTCGTCTCTCAGCACTGGTCCCTGTCTGCCCCTTCTGTGGCTGTGTGCTGGATCACCCCATGTCCCAAGGTGCAGGACAGGTCGGGGCTGGCTGGGGCCAGGGCTCAGCTCCCCCCTCTGCAGGGACAAACGCTGCCGTCTGCCTGCAGAACCCCGTCCCCTCGGCGTCCCCATGGGTGTCTTGAGCTGCGTGAAGTACCTGATGTTCATCTTCAACGTGCTGGTGTTTGTGAGTCCCCCCGGGCCCGGCGGGATGGAGGGGTGCAGGGGAGCCGGCCGGTCCCACCCGTGATGTGAGGCTGTGGTCACCGACAGGCTCAGGGGAGGGGTGGCACCGGTCCGAGGGATGGGACCCCAGCAGGGTTTGGAGCATCCTCAGTCCCTGTGACCTCCGGGGCTGGTCCCTGTGCCCTGTGACCGCGGTGTGTCCCACAGGCCGGGGGGACGTGCCTGGTGGGTGTCGGGGTCTGGGTGGCTGTGGACCCGGCTGGTTTCCAGGACATCGTGGCCACCAAGCCTGTGCTGAGGGCTGGCGCCTACCTGCTGCTGGCCGTGGGCATCGCCCTCTCGCTGTTGGGCTTCCTGGGCTGCTGCGGGGCCCTGCGCCAGAGCCGGCTCCTGCTGCTGGTGGTGAGTGAGGGGAGAGTGGGAAGAGCTGGGGGATGCAGGGCTGTGGGATGCGGGGTGTTCCCAGAGGAGACAGAAGACCCATCCTGGCCCTGTCAGCCTTCAACACACACCCCAATCCCGTTCCCACATTGTGAGACTTTGAATTTAAAGGCCAGAGGGTTTAATGAAGCACTGGGTGGGATCTTTTCTCCCTGAAGCCAGTGGCTTGTCCCATGTGGCCTTTCTGAGCCTCTTCCCTCAATGGCAAGAGCTAGAAACTCCTTTCTGAGCACAGGCGTGACAATTTCTTTGGCATCCCCAGGCCCTGGCAGGCAGTGCTTGTTTTTAATGTTCTGCCTTACAGCTGCAGTGCTCGGAGATGTCGTGTCCGTCCCGAATTGCTGCATGCTTGTCTCCTGTATCCCCCCTGTCCCCCGATCCCAGGGATGTGCATGGGCAGGGAGGGCTGCAGGGGAGGGAGGAGCAGCAGGAGCGAGCTGCACACAGACCCGGGCTGCTCTCTGACTCCTCTGTTCTGCTGCCTTCCAGTTCTTCGTCCTCGTGAGCCTCGTCTTTGTCACACAGCTGGTCGGGGCTGTGCTCTTCCTGGTGCACTGGAAACAGGTATCATCCCTGCGCCCTGCTGCGGCGCCCAGCCGCTCTCCTCCCTCCATCATGCCACCGATCATGGCCCTGGGTCCCTCAGCAACCAGCTGGAGACTGGGACGGTGCAGGGACGCCCTCCTCACCCTCACCTTCACCACCAGCACGCTGAGCAAGCCTGAGCCCAGCTGTGTCCCCCTGTGAGCTGGTGGCACTGGGCGGCTGATGGGTGTGCGGTGACTCCGTGCCTGGGACTGGTCCCCCGGGTGCTCACAGGTGGTACTGACCCCACAGATCCGCCCAGAGCTCTTCCTGTCTGAGCTGCGGAGGAACTACCGTGGGGATGAGGACGCCGAGGTCTTCTCTGTGGCCTGGAACACCCTCATGGTCATGGTGAGCAGGGAGGCTCCTTCTGGGACGTGGAGCACCCATGGGCCCTGCTCAGGGTGACTTCTCATGGACCCCAGTCAGACTCCAAGCAGCGTGCTGGGCTGTTCCCCTCCTTCTACTGCATCCCCAAGCAAAGTCCCTGCATTTTGACAGCATGTTGACAGCGTTTCCTTTCCATTTCAGTTCTCCTGTTGCGGCGTTTTAGGGCCTGAAGACTTTGGGAATGGCTCCCGGTTCCAGGAGCTGCATCCAGGGACACCCTGGCCACGGGCGTGCTGTGCCCGGGATGGGCTCCTGCAGGCAGGCGAGCTGCTGGGCTGGGAGCAGTGCCGGGAGAGGAGCCCTGGCTACATCCACGAGCAGGTAGGGCTGCACGGGCACCCGCCCTGCGCTGCCAGGCCCTGCCACGTCCCTGCCGTGTCCCCAGCACGTCTCAGGCTCCTGCCTATGGAGAGCAGCACCCTCTGCCCTGAGCACTGAAGTGGGGACAGGACCCGAGGCACTGCTGTACCGTGGTTCTGCACAGTGGTACCTCCCCAAACCCACCGCTCATGGTGCCCCTGACCCACCCCAACCTCCCCAGCCCTCAGTCTCCCTTTGAGCTCCCTGCAGTGAAGCCTGAAGGACACCTCCAACATCTCCCCTCCTGCCCAGGGCTGCTTCCCCACCTTCGGCAGGACCTTGCAGAATTACATCTCCGTCCCCGGGACCTGCAGCTTGGCCGTGCTGGGCATCGAGGTACGGAGCAGGGGCTGGAGGGGACAAGGCAGGCAGCGGGGCACCTCACATGGGCGCTCTTTGCCAGGAGGGAAGGGGATGGGGCTTTGTGTGAAGGGACCACAGACAGGCTCTGTCTGTCCCCCCAGCCTCTGGTTGTCACGATCGCACTCAGAAAGGCGCACACAGAGCAGGTCTGTCTCCGGGGTGTAAAGCCAACCTCCCACCCACTGTGGCTGAGGTTGAGGGACTGAGGGAGCGAGGTTTATTTTGCTCCTGCAGGCCCAGGGGAGGAGGAGCACTGCTCAGCAGCTTCCTCCGTGCAGCATGGGGCAGCCCCTTGCAGGTCACAGCTACCCTGGTGCCTGGCTGGACTGGGAGCAGGACACTGACCCCTTTACTGTCCAGGCACTCAGATTCCACCCAGTTGCTGCTGCGGCAGGGAGCTAACCTGCTCCATCTCTTTTCATTGCAGATCTTTGCCATGTTCTTTGCTTTTTGCCTTTACTACAACTTCGACTGAGCAGGACCCTGGGAGCAGTGCTCCTGGCCACTGCCAGTGCAGCAGAGATGAGCTGAGGGTTTTGGAAACAGCAGCAGGCAAGGATGCTCCATTTTCTTGCATATTGCAGCCCAGCTCCGTAGTTCAGGAGTTTTTCTGAGTCCTGTGTCCGCTCCAGGGGGCAAATAAGAATGACCTGGCTCACTTGTCCTGGAGCAGGGACAGGACATGGGTCAAATTCTTTACACCCAAACACGCAGAGCAGGAGCCTGAGCTCTGGACTTGGTCACGCTGCAATCTGCCAGTAACATAGCTGTGACGACACGGAGTCCTGCCCCCAACATCTTCTGGCCTGCTCTACCACCAACAGTTACAGCATGGGTCAGGCTATCAGAGTCCTCCTTCCTCTCAACGCTCTCAGCCTCACTGCCCTGTCCCACACTCCCACATGCCTTTCTTCCACATCCTGCCCGCTCCCACACCTCTGGGTCCCCCTTTGGGTTTTTCTCCATCCTCAGCACTCAGCTGGTGCTTTTCGCTATCCAGCCCCTGGAGACACAACAGCACCTAGACTCATTCCACATCCGAGCTTGTGTTAAATGCTGTAAGCTGCAACTGGACTGTAGCATGCTGCTCCAGAGACAGTTTTAAGAGACAGAAGTTTAGAGCTTAAATTACTGAGGTATCCTTAAGTTACCTTTATTTTACAAGGCAAATGAAGCCTTCACCAGAGAAGGATTTCAACAGTTTAACACTGCAAACAAGTTCTAGTATATCTGTCACTCAGCTTTTGTTCACTGTACATTTTGAGGCAAGGACACAAATAGAAACATCAGTCTTTAGTGCTGTTTGCATTCCTTTGAGAGAAAGCTGGTAGTCAGAAGCAGCACTGGTACTTCCAATTGTCCTTTTCTTCAGAATACTCTGAAACCCCCAAACAAAATGTAAACCTCAGGGAAAAAAAAAAGTTTATAAATAAAATATAAAGCTTTTATTTAATAGAACTTCTGACAGAAAAACACCTAGGAGATAGAAAAACAAAGCCTACTACTATTAATATTAAAATATTTAGTTATACCTGTGTAAAGAAAAAAGGACAGCAAAAACAAAGTTGACAGCCACACCAGGAATAAAAATCACTTAGGACTCCAGGCGAGATTTCTTCTCTTTCTTGGTGATATCACTCCCTTTTCTTTTCAGCATGATAGATTCACTGGTGGTACTTGTTTCACTCTGATTTGTTTTCTCTTCTAAAGCCTTGGAAGCCTGTGATTACACAAGAAATAAAAGTAACAGCTGTGAATAATTAAGTTATATAAACTCTTAGCACTGTTGCATGTTCCCAGCCCCATGTGTGTGTATTCACGTACACACCTTAGAACACCCTGCCCTCCAAGATCAGAACTGACTGTGCTCCCTGCTTTTACACACTGACCCTCAGCTGTACTGTTCCTGTTGCTGGGAACTGTATGAAGAGGGGAGTGACAGGAGAACAGAATAACAACTGTACCCAGAAGTGCCACATACACGCATAAGCATGGATGAGCTCTCTATGGAGCCAGGTAAGGGATATGTAACTGATTTTTTGGAGCAGGTTTAATCTGCTTAAATTAAATTCCTTTTTACGCATCTCATCTGTGAGATATGTCAGGGTGCAGACCAGAGGCAGGAAGATAGGAAATGTGATGGCAGAAAAATGCTCCACCAAGGGTTTGGGAGACCAGTCAGAGCCAGAGAACATGTGCAGAAGACAGAACAGGCTTAGCTGAGCATAAGGCACAGCCATGGCAGAACGTGCAGTTTGGTAGGAACAAAGCTGAGGCAGAAACGGGGCAGCAGAATCCCAGATTATTATTTTTGTAATAAGTTTTACTCATCCTTCTTACTTCTTGAGAAACAAAGCAATTATTTGTGACCAAACACATCATTAACTTCGAAGGAGTGATAGTTTTTCCTCCACACAACCTGTCCACCTTTAAGTTGTGTTTGTCCAAACGCCTGTCAGAGGACTGGGTTCTCCCAGGGTGACAAACCCCAGCTGGCAGGTTTGGGGAACGAACACTGCTTCACCTCTTAGTGGCCAAAGGCAGCAGCTCCACCTGCTGTGCTTACAGGTGCTGCACCTCAGCTATTCTCAGCTTGTTGGGTATCTGACTGGTCATAGAAGGTAACATCACACAGCAAAAGAGAGAGCTGCCTTTGGTTACTCAAACTTCCTGAAAGACTGATACAAAGAAGACATTGTAAAAACGCCACCCTTCTCTAATCCAGTCATAAGCAAGGATCCCTCCCAGCAGAGAGCAAGGGGTAGAAGTGAGACTCCACCTGCCCTCTCCACCATCCACAGACTTCAGGGCTGATATTTTCACTAACCACAGCAGATATTACAAAGTGAATATAATAAAGAGATTATAATTAAATAGTCTTCCAAGACAGAACAAAAGGGGAGGAAAGAAAGCAAGCCTTGCCAAGTAATTGTGAAAGGCAAATTGAGATGAGAAGGACTGTTCACAAAAACCAAGCTACGCAACTGAAAGAAGAGAGCACATTTCTCACCCTCTTTTGCTGGCTTGCATATTTCTCAGTCCACTCCTTGGCATTTATCAAGAACAGCTGCTTATTGTACTTGTACTCCGAGGACTAAATGTAATGAGAAAGACAGATTTGATTTAATATTAACACTGAGAAGCTGAGACTAAACACTAGGGGTTTGTTAACTCCTCTAGGAGTCCTGGCATTACGACTCCTCAAACCAGACCCAACCTGCTACAAGTATGTGGCATAAAGCATAAACTCGTTTTGCTTGAAGAATGCACACTTCTGTTTGTATGGGCAGGCCTGAAGACAAGACCTTCTCCATCTCTTTTCCACTGCTGCCATGAACCCCATGCAGCATGCCCCAGCTGCTCCAGAGAAACACAGCCATGCCCCAGGCCTGATCCCCAGCTGTACTGCTGTGTAATCCCCCAGCGTGTTAATCCTGAGCGAGCGAAGTGGAAGCACAGCCTGAACCTAATGCTCTGTTCCACCCCAGCCTGCGCCCATGGCCACAAGAGGGTCAGAGGAGCTCACGTACTATGTCTGCCATGAGAGGGTCATCAGGGTTGGGCTCTGCCATCAGCAGCTGTATGGAGGTGAGCAGCGTGGAGATGTTCAGGGAAGGCCTCCATGCGCCCTTCAAGGGAAGAGGGTAAAGGAAGCAGTTAAAGAAAGCTACACACGGGCAGCCTAGAAAAAGCTCAGGACTTAGAGCGTTCAGATCCACGTGGAAAACACCCGATGCATTCTCACACACAGGCTGCGGCCCCTCTGAGGAAGCCTGACAGACAACCAAAGGCTGCATCCCACACACCTCTGCTGGGACAGCGCTGGGTAGCCCGCTTTCAGAGGGCTGCCTAATGCCTTTTGGCTCCAATCCTTAAAGCCTTGGAAGCTCATACAGAACAAAGAAGGTCACGTTCTAGTCTCTAAACAAAGGACAGGCCACACAAAAACCTCTACTGCTGTGCTCCTGTGTAAATAAGTCATCAGCAAACAGACATCCAATAAGGCTTTTACAAGAAAAAGATAAGGAGTTCATTATTCTCCTCAGGCTCGGCTTACCCATGTCCAAGCAGTGCTACCTTACCTTTGGTGGTAACTTAAGAACATCCAGGCAAATCCTTCCAGCAGAGTCGATGTTAGGATGATAGATAGGGGTCAGAAAGCGAATCTTTGGGGGCTCGAATGGGTATCTTTAAGAGATAAGCATTAAGAAACAAAAAGCTGTTTTTATATTTGTACTCCAGTTGCTTCATCACCCAAGAAATATCATTATTCCCTCCTCCCAGCCATTTACTAAGTGACAATCTTTCCCAACAATTTTGGGGGCAAGCAGTGCCCTACCTTTTATGCTTTCAGCTATGTTTGATTAGGACTTCCCTGAACAGCTTCCCACAAAGAAGCAAACATGATAGGAAGCTTTCTAATCAGAATGAGCTACTTTCCAGAAAGATTTGAGACAAACATAGAAATCCTGTTAAAGTGCTTTTAGGTTGTTTATCATGCATCTCAGGATGTCCTGTATGAAATAAGTGATTCAGCCAGCAGAAATAACAATTACGTTCCATAAATGAAGGGTTTGTTATAAAAATAATCAACAACATTCTTCATGGGGAGGCTGAAGGAAAGACCTCGCTACAAGAAGGACATCGAGGTGCTCAAAAGAGTCCAGAGAAGGGCAACAAAGCTGGTGAGCGGTCTGGAAAACAAGCCCTGTGAGGAGCGGCTGAGGGAGCTGGGTTTGTTCAGCCTGGAGAAGAGGAGGCTCAGGGGTGACCTTATTGCTCTTTATAAGTGCATTAAAGGAGGCTGTAGTGAGGTGGGGTTTGGTCTGTTCTCCCACATGCCTGGTGACAGGACAAATGGGAACGGGCTAAAGTTGTGCCAGGGGTGTTTTAGGTTGGATATTAGGAAGAACTTCTTTACTGAGAGGATTGTGAGGCATTGGAATAGGCCGCCGAGGGAAGTGGTGGAGTCACCATCCCTGGAGGTCTTTAAAAGACGTTTAGATGTTGAACTTTGCAATATCGTTTAGTGGAGGACTTGTTAGTGTTAGGTCAGAGGTTAGAATCAATGATCTTGAGGTCTCTTCCAACCTAGACTATTCTGTAATTCTGTGATTCTATCAAACATATCAATTAAACCATATCTGAAATGCCTCACCAGCTAGATGCCATTGCTCACTTACCTTTCAGGCACAACTATCTCCAGGTTGAATATTCCTTTCTCATATGGTGTATCTGCAGCTCCTAAAATTTCTTTAGGAAAATGAATATCAAAACATAAGCATTACATTAAAAAACACTTGAATTTATCCAGCAAACTCCACAGATCACCCACAATTATATAACTATAGCACTGCTCAGATCCATGAATTAAAATCCATGAATAAAAATCTGCCACGATACCCGAGACCTGTTCCACCCCACAGCAATCCAGTCGCCAGATCCAACAAGTAATAGATATAAGCTAAAGGAACACCAGAAGAAGAACCTAAGCTTTTTTCCTGGAATTCCACAGGTACGTACATGCCACTCAGTGAATCCAGGCCTAGCAGCAGATTCTAACGCATCCCTGCCTTAAGAAGCAGCCCTAGCAGCGGGTACCTACGTGCTCGGAGGTCGTCCAGGCGGCTGCCACTTTGCCAGCAGGTGATGCCAGGAGGGGGCTCTGTGCTCAGGAGGGAGAGCTCCCTCTTCAGCCGCGATGCTCGCTGCATTGTGCTGAGATCCCGAGGGCGAATTTTATCGCTGCCAAAGCTGGAACTTCGGGAAGAGAATCACGGAATCGTTAGGGTGGGAAGAGACCTCCAGGAGCACCCGCTCCAGCCACCCCCTGCCACCACTGAGCCGTGTCCCCAAGCACCAGCCCCAACCTCTCCTGGAGCCCCCCCAGGGACGGGGACTCCCCCACCTCCCTGGGCAACCCGTCCCAACGCCTGCCCGCTCTGGCTGAGCAGAAATGGCTCCTCATTGCCCACCTCAACCTCCCCTGGCACAGCTCCAGGCCGTTCCCTCTGGTCCCAGAGCCATGAGCTCTGCCCTGAGCCTCCTCTTCCCCAGCCCAAACCCCCCCAGGCTCCTCCCGGCCCCCCCTCAGCCCCCTCCCGTGCTGCCGTTAGGGCGGGGGGGGCCTCACCGTGACCCGCCCCCCCCCCTCCCTCACCTCGGCGGGAAGCAGCGCGCGGCGCGGGGGGGGGGAGGGGGGGTGAGGCGGGGGGGCGGGGCATCCCCGTCGCTTGGCAACGCGGAGAGACGCCGCCCGTTGGCCCCGCCCCTCGGCCCAAACCGCGGGCGCTGATTGGGCGCCGCCTGGCCACGCCCCCTCCCGCGGCGCCCGTTCGAATTCGAAGGGGAGGAGCGCTGCGATTGGAGGAGCCCCGAGGGCGGGAGCGCAAGCCACGCCCCTAGGGGGCGGGGAAACGCGCGGAGTGGGCGTGTCTCGCAGACGCCCCGCCCACTGGCTCTGCACTGGGGGGGCCGGGGTCCTGCTGCCCCCTTCCCCTTGTTCCCCCCCCCCCCAGTGCGGTGCCCCCGCTCCGTGCCCCGGCAGCAACAGCAGCGGGGCGGCCCCGGCCCCAGCCACAGCCCTGACCGTGCCCCCAGTCCCCGTGTCCCGTCCCCCCCCCCGCTGCCGGGCGTTGCATAACCGGCCCCGTGGCCTGGGCACTGGTGCCGGCGGCTGGGGACAGAGCTGGGGACCCGCTGCGCGACCCCCCGTAAAGGGGGGCATCGGGTCGGGCCGGCCCCGCACCGCCCTGGGCCCTGGGGAGGGAGGGGAGCGTGGGGCTGGGGGTCAGGGCTATAGGGTCGGGGGCTGTGGGGCTGGGAGTAGGGGGTGGGGGTCAGGGGCTGCGGGGTTGGGGGCTGTAGGGTCCGAGGGCTGTGGGGCTGGGGGTTGTAGGGTCAGGGGCTGTAGGGCTGGGGCCAAGCACTTTAAGAGCCCAAAATACAGCTGTGGGGCTGCTCGTGCAGCTGGCTGTGTGTGTGCGTGCTGAAGGCTTCATAACCGCGTTGTCATCGCTTCCTATCCGGACAGCCAAGGCGAGCGGCTGTGCCTTGACTGCGCCGGGCAATCCACGTGTCCGCGGAGGAAATTGAGCTGCTAAAAATTTCCGTCGGGCCTCGGTCCGAACGTGCTGGGTCTTGCTGTGCCATGAGCGGGCGGTGAGCGCGCTGCCAGCCTCCTCCGGCAGGAGTTACGCAAAACCCCGAGTCCTTCAGCCTGTCGATTCCACCCCGGTGTGTGTTTGTGTGATCGCAGCTGGGGTGTTAAACCTGGGCACCTGCCTTGCCAGTGCCTGTAGGAACAGGAGCACCAAGGCCAGGTCCAGGTGACCACCATCGCGCCCCTCCAGTGGAAGCCTGCACGTGGAGAGAAATGCCCGCGAGTGGCAGAGCTGCGGTCAGCACTCGGGGGCCACCCTTTCCTCAGGACAGCCGGCTGTGAAGAGCCCGGAGCACCTGCCAGGTAACCCCAAGGTAAGGTCCAGTCACCTCATTTAGGGTTTTCCCTGCCTTGTGTTGTGGCATACATCCCAAAGTGGCGCAAGGCGTGTTTTCTGCCTGATGTGGCTGATCTGTGATGAGCTGCAGTCACCCAGACGTGGCAGGAGGCCTGCCTGGCCTTGCTGACAGCGTTGGTTTGTGGAGAGTTCAAGCAGTACCTCTGGATAAATCCTGCCACAAAGTCAACCAACAAATGGTAACTGCTCCTCCTTCCCCCATCATCACTGAGGATCATCCCCTTCCTCCTGGCAGGGCTGGAGCACCCAAGGGTGCCGCCCTTTGGTGCTGACCCACCACATCCTCCTGATGCCACCTTAGTGCCACCAGGCCCACAGCAGTGACCCCTTCCTGCGTGTTTCCACCCAGCCGCGGGTCCCAGCTCCCCACCCAGCCCTGGCACTCCTTCAGCGCTGGGCTTGCTCCCCTCGCTTCATTCAGGCCCCTGCTTCCCCCTGTGCTGGATGCCCAGGGCTGTCCCTACCCCAGCACTCTCTACCCCCCAGCCCCTGCTAGCGTGGACTGGGTGAGAGTTCCAGCACGTTTTAGATGCTTTGCTGCCCAAAAATACCAGCTGGGTGCTCCCAGGTGCCAGAGCCGCCCTGTTTTTCCTGTTCCTCCATGGTGTGTGGGCAGGTCGGTGCCGTCCTCTCCTCCCTTGTAGCTCCGTTCCCTGAGCCAAGGTGCCGCACACCTGCAAAGCCCCAGGCTTGGCTCCGAGCTCTTCTGTGCCCTAACCCGTTTCAGGGTTAGGTTACTGGGGGCTCAGCGGGCTGTGTCGTGGCCTGGGGGCACAGTTGGGTGCCTCAGTGATGCTGATGAGTGTTTTAGGGAAGAGTGCAAGTCAGATCATTATATGAGGCTGGTAATGCTGTTGAGTGTGGGCTGAGCAGGGACAAGGGGCAGAGACCTCCTGCAGCCATTTGGGAGGGTATAAGGGGGGAAGTTTGTTTGAGGGGTTGAACTGGGTTAGAGATTGTTTGGTCCCATGCCAATCCACAACCTCTGAATTCTTTGGGTAGTAACCCTTGAAATTAGAAGCAGGTGGAGGTGGGCTGGTTGGGGGCTGTCACCAGGTGGGCACAGACACCGGGGGCAGCTGGGCTCAGTGCTTTGGCTTGCTGCTGAGTCCATCCCCCGTGAGCAGAGCAAGCAGCAGCCATGGGGCAGTTCCTCAGGCTCTGCCCTGAGCTAGCACCAAGGTGAGCCCTCCTGCAAGTCCCCAAAGCCAGATGAAACAGTTCAAAGGTAAGTGATTACATGTTGATCCCTATATCAGCCTCAGGTCACCACCTAGCTCCTCCACAGGGGGAGGAGGGCTTTTCTCCTGATGCTTGGAGGCACAAAGGATCTCCTGGGGCTAGGAAAGGTGGATTAAGAACTGTAGTGAACTGATGAATCCAGACATTACAAAGTCAGCGCTGTCAGAATAGCCCTGCATGCTCTTGTGTTGGTGTTGTGCTGTGCTTTGCTCTCCTTCCTTTTTCCTTACAGTCTTAAGAGCCTTGATAGTGAGCAAACATGCCGTGTCTTTTATACATCTTCTACTGAAGCCCAGGAGGGCTTTTCACTGCTAGCGTGAGCCATGTATCAGGTCTCTGATGAGATGAGGGCTCCTGCGGAGCTGGCATCCCTGCAAACAGAGGCAGAGCTTCCTGAGCCACCTTCTCACCACTGATTTACAGAGGGCTGGATGCTGGGTGCTGCAGGCTGCATCCATGCATGGGGCTGCAGAATGGTTCTGTAGTAGATGGAGCTCTGACAACTCTGTTTTCCTTCCTTCTGGTGAGCACTCTTGGGATATAATTTAATTTAGGAATTTAATTTGAGGACTTGAGTGACTCTTTTGGGGAAGCAGCTGTTCTCTGTGGAGCTAGGTGCTAAAGCAGCTGCCAAATGGTGGGACCTGGCACAGTGAGGAGAGGTTTGGTCCTGTCTCTGCTCTTCTAGCCTGTGAAAGCTCATTAAAAAAAGCAAAGATTTGTGGCAAAAAGAGCTGAGCCATGTTTGGAGCTCTATTTCTAGTATTAATTGGCCTTGTTCCTTAATAGGGATGTTATATCCTCAAAGCCAACAGCTTTTTTCCTCTTCTAACAGGTTTGAGAGCAGCCAGGATGCCACACCGCACCATCCATCTCTTCCGGAAGGGGCTGCGGCTGCACGACCACCCAGCGCTGCTGGCTGCGCTTGAGTCTTCGGAGGTCGTCTACCCCGTCTACATCCTCGACAGAAAGTTCATGACGTCTGTGATGCACATAGGGGCCCTGCGATGGCACTTTCTGCTGCAGTCCCTGGAGGATTTGCAGAAAAACTTATGTCGGCTGGGCTCTCACTTGCTGGTTATTCAAGGAGAGTATGAGCCCGTTCTTAGAGATCACGTCCAGAAGTGGAACATCACGCAAGTGACTCTGGATGCAGAGATGGAGCCATTTTACAAGGAGATGGAAGCCAACATACGGTGTCTGGGAGAAGAGCTGGGGTTCGAGGTGCTTTCTGTGGTGGGCCACAGCCTTTATGACACCAAACGGTATGTGATTGCCTTAAAGCCTAGTGAGGTGTCTCCAGGAGGGTTTAGCAAGCATCAGGGAGAAAAAGTCAAGTACTTTGGTCCTTCTGGATCCTTTTCCTTTTCAGAAAATTGGACTATTAGAGATAGCTGCACTGCTTGCTGGAGAATTTTTGTGTTGGTTTACTGGAAGCAACAGAAGAAATTTTGGTGGGTTGCACAGGTGTTAGGATGTTGGGCTGTAGTTAGAGCCTAAACAGTTTATTTTTTTCCCTTTGGGCAGTTTAATTCACTTTAAGCCATTATGTTAGCTACTCTTTTACACAGATGGAGAAATTCTTTAACACATTTAATAGGACTTATTTATACATTCTTGTGCTTTTTTTTTTTTTTTTTTAAATCTTTCTAATCAACTTTCAATGGTGTCTGGATACACTTGGATCCAAGCAGTTATTCAGAACTGAATGACTGCAGGTATTTAAATTAATAATAACAGGGAGGAAATCATTAGCAGTTAAAACAGCCTTAACACTCTGCTCCTGAAAAACCCTACATTTGTGTGAACGAGTTGATGTATGTGACTGGCCATCTTAAATTCAAGCCATCGGTTTGTATAGGTGGTTGCTGGCAGGGAAGAGTTCTTTACAGTCCTGAATCTGTTGTTTTGTGGTCTGACTGTCTCTGGAAGCCCCAGAGGTGACCAGCACCTTGCCGGCTGCTGTCCTAGCTATGTCTGGCAGTCTGGAACTACACCAGCTGAAGCTGTGGCTGGCATCCTGGTTTCAATTTTGCTCTCTCAAGTCCCGAGAACCTGCTCTCAGGATGGATGGATGTTCACCCAGGGAAGTTTTACTTGTAAAATCTGTAACTTCCACAGTCAGCCCTGCAAACTGGTGCTTTTCCAGCCTGTGCTGTCACCTTCCTTGGCTGAACAGAGTTGTGGCTTGAGTTTAGGAGAAAAAAGAGGGTTTATAATCTTTGGAAAAGAGGGCGGGCCACTCAGGGGGACTATAAGGATGTTGCGAGGCACTGCAGGGACAAAATTAGAAAGGCCAAAGCTCATCTGGAGCTCAATCTGGCTACTGCTGTCAAAGACAACAAAAGATGTTTTTATAAA